AACTTAAATGCATATTATTAAGTGAAAGAAGCCAGTCTGAAAAGGCTATATACTGTATAATTCTAGATAAGGCAAAACCATCAAAACAGTAAAAACAGCAGTGTTTGCCAGGGTTGGGAGTGGGGGTGATGAATAGATGGAACACAACAGATTTTTAGGGCAGTGAAAATTCTCTGATGCTATAATGGTGGATACAGGTCATTACACATTTGTCCAAACCCATAGAATGTTCAACACTAACAATGAAGCCTACTGTAAACTTTGGGTGATTAAAATGTGTAAGCATATGTTCATCAATTGTAACAAATGTGCCATTCTGGATTGAGATGTTGATAATGGGGGAGGATTTACATGTCTGTGAGTAGAACATATATGAGAAATCTCTTACTCTTAATTTTGCTGTGAGTCTAAAATTGCTCTAAAAATAGTTGTACTTAAAAAAAGAAATAACTTTGTGCTTTGTTATTCAGAATAAATAGGAAATGAAATTTCAACCTGGTGTTAAATAATTATTTCTCCTTATGATATAAGGGTTTATGATTTTTCAGGAAAGAGAGAGAATTTTCTGGCTCATTAAAACTATAAAAACTACCTGTAATTATAAAAACAATGAGGTTTTATTAAATAACTAGAGGCCCGGTGCTCAGATTCATGCACCGGTGGGGTCCCTTGGCCTGGCCTGTGCCCTCTCACAATCCAGAACCCCTCTGCAGATGTCAGAGAGCCAGTTTCAGCTCAATCCCCTCAGGCCAGGCCGAGGAAACCCACCAGTGCATGAATCCAGGTATTGGGCCTCTAGTATGCATATAAGATCTTTGGTTAATCTCTTCACACCCTTCCCTCTGAGATTCATCAGTCTGTTCCATGTTTCCATACCTGTGCATTGAGCATCTGCCCCCTGGTGGTCAGTGAGTCATAGCTACCAGTCGAACAGTCAAACGGTCTCTTAGGCTTTTATATATAGATAATTATTATTATTAAAATACATCAGGGGCTGCTCTGTGTTTATATGTGATTCTCACTACAGCTCTGACTTATTCTAATCTCATCGTACAGATAAGGAAACTGAGGCATCCCTTAGTTTTCAGATGGTCCATTAATGTTACCTATTATGTAGAAATTCTGCATTGACAAGAACTGTGACACCAGGCAACTTCATTTTCTAATAGGTAAAAGAACAACCTCTTGAAATTTAATGTAATTCTTTCTTGGCCAAAAGAACTTATGCTTTCAATTCTACTCAAAGGCTTTGAGATTCCTAATAGAAGAGAAGTAGGAAGAGCACATGATAAAAGAGACAGATTTCATCTACTAGTACACTGTCTAAGAAGATGGATTGGGAACATAAAGAGCTAATAACACCGAACATTTTCTTTGCTAGGTTATCTTTTACACATTAATTATACAGAAGAGCCTGCTTAAATGGGGACTCTCACCGTAGAATGTTTCTTCTAAGAGAAGGCTCTTTTCCTTCCTCTGCACTTGAGTTGGGTGATGGTATCAGAGAGCTATCAGGGAGATAAGTTGATAGAGTTGATAGAGTAAGAAAAAGTTTATTTCATTTATAGTATAAGCTGATTCATTTAACTGACCAATGAATCATCATTGTATAGGAGACTGGTCTGCTCAAATCATCCCTATGTTTAAACTACTCTATAGTTTTAAATCAGATATCCATGAAAACTGCTTAACTTTGCAAAATTTAAGATATTCTTATTTACGCTTCTACCAAACTGTATAAGGTAATAATGCCCTATAATCTCTTACTAGATACTCATTTTTAATATCATTCAGAATAAATGACACCTGATGTGTAAAACCAACTTGAGAATTTTTCATGTTTTTCACTAAAGACAACAATCTTCACTAAAGACAACAATCTCCAAATAACTACATAAGACAATATGTATTATGTTTCAAACTTAAAATGTTTTTATTTTCTTTTTCTCTAATTTCTAGGGTACTATTTGTATCTGGTTTTATTGGTGTACAAATCTTGCACGGATGACAAGAGGATGTTTTTTACCTTAAAAAATTCTGTATTATTTTTAAATCAAGGTGAGAGGAATAAATAATGAAGGGATTGACTACTACACCCCAGTTGCTGTGCCTGACTTATTACCCATATTTCATTTAATCTTTCCAACTGGGAGCTAAAATAGACCTGTTTTCAGTCAATTCCCAACAACTTCTTATTTGCTCTATGTAATGAAAGAATGGGGGAAATGTAGCTATTTTCTGTGTGTGTGTGTGTGTGTGTGTGTGTGTCTGTGGTTTTTTTCTTTCTCCTACAGCTTTCCTAAACTTGTTTATGCAATCAATTTTTCTTTTTCCTCAGTGATCTTTTTTACCATATTTCCAGTTATCACACAACTTTCATCCCACCCTAGGTGTTGCTGCCTCCTGCCTACCTGTATGGCCAGTTCAGAGCCCACAGCTGTGGAAAGTGGATTCTATTTTCTTGCTTGTCATTGCTATTACCTTATTTGACTTTATTTCCCTCTTAAATTTTTTGAAATTATTTTTTCTGGAAGTTGATTTGGTTGGTTCCCTTCTATCCTTTATCTTTTATCTTTCATCACTTCCACCTAGATTTTTCTTTCCTTTAAATGTCAAAAAAATACTTACATTTTGTTATAAACATAGTCAATAGTCAGCAAACTTGATGCTCACATTCATTGGATCCAGTGAAATAAGTTCAAAGACCATGGCGACCCCAAGCGCTGAGCGTGGCTGCGGAGATGGCCTGCTGGACACTCAGGCGCTGGGGGAGGAGCGGGGGCGGCAGGGGAGGGAGCCCCCCGGTGCCTGGACTTCACCGAGGGGGGCGAAGCGCCTGTTGACTCGCCAGGTCAGACTGCATTCTGCACAGCTGTCCTGGACTTGGGCCGGAGGGGGGGGGGGGGAGATAAGGGGAGGGGGGCGGCTAATCCCAGAGACTCTGGTTGAGGCTGAGGAGGAGCCCGTGGAGGTTCCCCAGGGCCTGCCTGTGGCCGTGGCCGAGACAGTGCCCAGGAGGCCTGGCCCAGGCAGCCCAGAGCGAGCCGGCCCAGCCTGGAATTGCGCTGGAGCAGAGCTCCCCGCCCGACATCGCCCACTGAGCAGGCTGGCGGAGCTGGAGCTGGAGAAGGAGCCAGGAGGGGGCGGCGGCCCTCGCTGGAGAGCCGGTGGGCGCCCGGGCCACGTGCTCAGGGAGGTGCTGGCCCGCCCCTTCCTGGACCGGCTCAAAGCCTGTGCCCCCCGCGGGCCCCGAGCCCCAACCAGTTGGCTGCGGAAGGAGGAGGAGCGCATGTTCGCCCTGAGTCCTCCCGGGCCTGTGGCGCCGTGGAGCTGGACTTCCGGATGCGCCAGCCGAGGAGCAGCCGCAGGACGAGGAGAAGCCCGGGAGCTGGTGAGGCCACGGCGGTGCGAGTCCCAGCTGAGCCCCTGCCCTGCCGACAGGGGTGCCTGCGAGCAGGAGCTGGAGCGGGGTGAGGAAGAGGCACACGGGCCTGAGGAGGAACAAGATCCCCTCGTGGGGACGGGAAAGCGAGCAGGAGGAACCAGCCCTGGGACGAGCACGAAGCCCGGTGGGACGTCATGTCATGAGCCGGCTGAGGAGGAGGAAGAAGGGGCGGCGAGCAGGAGCAGGCGGCCCGCGGCTGGACCAGGCCCTCTTCCTCACCGGGCGGGACACGCTGAGGGCCCTCCAGTTCTCGGGCAGTTGTGGGGCATCCAGGCCGAGGGGGCTGCGCCGGTACCCGACGCCCACGGCAGCTGCGGAGCAAGGGCAGGAGGGCGCTGGCCGAGGCCTGGCTCTCAAAGGCCCCTGAGAAGGAAACGCAAACGGCCGCCAAAGCCGGGAAGACGAGGTGGGCTTCGCGGCCAGGGCCCAGGCCCGGCGCCGCTCCCTCCTGGGTGCTGCTTGCGGAGGCCGAGGCCCGCTCCTCCTCCGGCGCTGCTTCGCTTCTTCGGAGGACTCGTGTGACCAAGGTCACTATGGGGGTACGTTCTCTCCTCCTGCATCCGGCACGGAAAGAACCGGTTCTTGGAGTAGAGACGCTTGGGACTGAAAAATGAAATAATGAGACGAGACACAGAAATAGAAGAAGCTGGACCGGTGGGCTTCTGCCCTCTGAGGGAGGGACAGACAGGGGGCTCGGCACCAGAACCACGTGTTTAATTTATACCCAAATACCAGGGCGCTGGCTGGTGGGCGTGGCAAGTAGGCGTGGCTCCACCTCAGGGCCCCTCCCACAGGGCGGGGCCAGTCGGAGGGAGGAGAGTCCTATTCGTTCCTGGTGCGTGGCCAGATCTACATCTCAAAAACCCACTCCGGGCGCCTGGGCTTTGAAGAGTGGAACTGAGGCATTCTCACCTCTTGGTTAGATGTGCCCCAAGACAAGGCTGTGCCTACATGTGGGGTTCAGTCAACATGAACTTAAAAGAAAGCCCATGGCGCCTTCCCTGGCAGGGGGCCCTCCACAGGTTACTAGCTCCAAACACACCCACTTCCGTGTTCTATAGAGAGTGAGTGAGCAGGAGGAGTGAGGGCGAGCGAGCCGGGTGCGAGCGATGGCGCCGCTGGGCCGGCTGGGTCGGGTCTTGGCGCGTAGCCTGCCGGGCAGCCTCAGCCGGGTGCATTTGCGCCTGTATGGCTGTGACAGTACCACGCTAGCGCTTTTTGAGCTTTTACACGGACTGATTTTAGTCTTCACCGTCCTCCCCTCCCCCTCCGCCACCCCACGCTGGCCTCCCTGCCCCCTGGGCCGCAGGCCGGGTGGGGGCTTGGCCGGGGCCTCCCGGGGACGTTTTGCAAATGGAACTCTGTCGTGTGGGCCTGTGGTTGGTGTTTGTACTTGGATTTTGGTAATACCAAGCTTTATTCAATATATCGAGCTCTTTTTTAACTAAAAAATAATAATAATAATAAGTGCAAAGATTTTATTTAATACCACACACACACACACACACACACACACTATATTAACTCAATGTCAACCATTGTGATTCTCTTTCAGAAACATGATGGCCACTTCACAGTCATCCAGCTGGTGGGTATGCTTCGAGGCATTGCATCAGGGATGAAGTATCTCTCTGATATGGGTTATGTTCATCGGGACCTAGCCGCTAGGAATATTTTGGTCAACAGCAACTTAGTGTGCAAAGTCTCTGATTTTGGTCTCTCCCGGGTGCTGGAAGATGACCCAGAAGCTGCCTATACAACAACGGTAAGTGTATATGTGCTTTTCTACGATAGTTCGTTTGCTTTTATTGCTTTTAATGTCATTAGAGTCATTCTGCTTTTGTTTTTTTTCTCTAATTTTCTGCTCCTGTCTGTCATTTTCCCAATTTAACATCATTATTTAGTTGAAACATCTTTTCTGTACCTGATTTAAAACAGAACCTTCTTATATTTCACTTTTATTTCTTCCATTGTACTGGGACTTTATTTTAACATTCCTGAGGTCCGTGCCTTCACACAAATCTGCCTTTGCCTGAGATATTTTTGATGCTTCATAAATTATCTCCTTTCAATGGAGTTCTGTGCGTTGAAGAATGGTGCAACCAATTAGGTCAGTGGTAATGACGAGGCAATGGTTATGAAATGACTTTTTTTTTTCCTCACAGCAAATGCTTTGGAATGATCTGATCATACTTAAAAATGAACAAGATAGGTTTCTCTGGAGATATAAACGTGCACTCTCAACCTTTCCTTGAACAATTCTTGGGGAAAATGTGAACACGAATAAAAGACTAAAACTTTAGAGCCAAGGTGTTATATGTCAATTATATTATCGTAACTTAACTCAAGAATATATTGTTCAAGCATTTCTGATCACCTCAAAACCATTTCACTCCACTGATCATTGCAGTGATTGTTTTAAGAGTTGTCTCAAAATCTCCCTTCCGTTATCTTAAAGCTAACAATTTATAGAATTATACTCTGTTCTGTTACTTTTTAAACAAAACCCCTACCATTGGCTCATTTGATAGCTTCAACGAGAAATAAGTCAGTAAAATTATTCAAGATGTTTTATTCTCTTCTCTTTTTCTAATCTTACACTTTATTCTAAAAGACACAAATCCATTATTTAGTTCCCTTTTATTTCATTTTCTATGAAATTTTTTTAAATTTCACTGTAAAAAATATTACCTCAGATTGGATGCAAGTTTAATATAATGAATGAAAGAGGTTATGCCCTTACTATGTTTGCTTTGTAGAAATGGTCTGTATTAATTTATCAGTGATATTTCCATTAATTTCTCCAACAAAGAAATACAGTTCTAAGGAAAATAGATTAATCTCTCAGAGTCTGATGTGTAAGGGAGCAGTATCTATTGATCTTTTAATTTGACCAAAAAAAACCCAACTTCATAAAAATAAGTCTATCAATTGAAAATAAATTATTTATTTTAGAAAAAACAGTCTTTTCAACTCCATTTTCTAATTGGGAATGTCATAATTCTTTTTTTCCAAGAACTTTATTTCTTTTATGTTTATAACTGTATAACTTGAAGCAACTTTTCAAGTTATAGAACAATTCATACAAGATTTTTCTCTTATGCATATTATTTCCAACATTAGAGAATAGTGTTTAAAGTTATATAATAATTATAAAACATAATATTTTCAAAATTGCAACAAATACTATCTATAAAAGTAATAAAATAAAATAGGAAATAAAAAATAAATAGGAAATAATACTAGATTCTTTGACTGTATGCTTATATAGATATACTTAAAATCCCTTATTAATATTTCAACTGATTTTTAAGAGAAGAAGCTCATAACTAAATATAGGATACTAATAAAATTGGCAGGGTAACCCACATCTTGAAGTATGTGTATGTTTTGTATTGTCAGATTTGATATATATATTCTAGACATGTTCTCTGTCTGATATGATTGCAGAGGCCTAGAAGCCTAGACCAGTACAATCTTAACTTTAATTTGACTACAGAATGAAACATCAAATTAAGTAACCAGTATATTAACACTCTAAAGAATGCTTCTTAAAAGCTATAGATGATGCCTCAATTAAGAAATGTCCCTGGATTTAACAGGTATCAATTGAACAGCAAATAATGTAATCAAGCACATTTATTTTTTTAATCTCAGAAACACCTAACTGTTCAGGGGGTCCCGGGGTACAAAATATCATACACTGATTACTCGAAGTTTAATGAACATGGACATTCACTACTTACAATGGCAGAGCTCTTGCCTTCATGAGCTTACCCTTTGACAGGGTAGAAAGACTGATGCTTCCTTGCGTTAAGTACATCATAAAGGTCTGAAAAAGAAATATGGAAGTACAAAAAAAGCAGAGGTCTGAAAAAAGCATCACAAAAAAAGATAAAATTTGAGCCATATATTAAAAGATTTAAAAGATTTCATTAGGCAGAGAATTGGGGGAGAGGTCCAGAGAGAGGGAACAGAAAGATAAAAAGATATGAAAATTTGGGGAAGTAAATGGCCACGTTGATGAAACCGTAGACAGCTTGGAATGAGGGTGAGGAACAGTGGAGGGGTCAGGTTGTGAAGGTGGTTGGGTGGTACTTAAAGAAATATGGAGGTTTTTCTATAGCAAGAGATAGGTATTGATTGATTTAAATAGGAGAATAACAAAATGCATGCATGTCTTAGAAGATGTTATTGACAACAATATGAAAAAGGAAGGGGAAGAGTGAGAAGGGGAGGGGATGAAGGACAGGAGGACTGGTAACCAGGAGACCAGTTGAGGCATTGCTGCTATGGCTCAGAAAGGCTATATGGGCTTAAGTCATAGGTACTCTGTCTGTCTCAAGTTAATGCCAGATTGAGCATTGGCATTCTGCTGAAATTTTTGGTAAAATTTTCAGGACTTTATGTAAATATACTTAGGCTCCAGATACTTTTATTTCCTGTTAAAAAAATAAAATGAAATGGTTAGAAAACTGCCTAGTGAAGATATATCTCAATTCAAGCAAATCCTGAATAATAAAATGCAGAAAAAGAATGGTCATTCATTTGAAAATGATTCTTTGTTTTATAAAAATATTTATAGCAAGGTTCATTGATATATTTTTTAAAGTATGACTTCATTTTTTAGTTACGTTTCTTAGAACATATCTTTTACCCAAAATTATTTTGATTTTTTCTCTTGCTGTGTAAGTGTAATTGCTATTTCCTCATTATTTGTAAATGGTTTTATAATCTGTGTTAAGAATGGTTAGGAGGTAAGGGAGGAAAGTGGAGGGTTTTTAAATCAGGAAGACATGGAAAAAAAAATTTTTTAAATCTTCTTTAAGAAAGTACTAGTAATTCTTAGAACAGTATGCAACATGGACATTTTCCATTAAGATGACTTTACCAATTTAGAGAGCCACTTATCACAGCAAAGAGCAGTAAGAACTGGTTAAAAGACAGGCTGAAAGTGGTCTCTCCCTTCCAGGAGCTTGCAGGTGCCACCCCCTCCTCCCGCTTCTTTCCCCACAGGTATGCATCTCCTAAACTCTACAGGATTCCATGAGGCTTGCAACCAGGACAGCAATGAATAGCTGCAGTTCACCCTGGGCAAACCTCCTGAACCTGTCCCCAAGGCCCTATTTCTCTGACTTCTTGATGAGCCAAAGCAGACCAGCCTAGGCTCATTTCCCAGCCCTTTCTTTCTTTTTTTTTTCTTTAAAATATATTTTTATTGATTTTGGAGAGGAAGAGAGAGATAGAAACATCAATGATGAGAAACATTGATTGGCTGCCTCCTGCACACCCTCCTACTGGGGATTAAGCCTGCAACCTGGGCATGTGCCCTTGACCGGAATTGATCCCAGGACCATTCAGTCTGCAAGCCAACACTCTATCCACTGAGCCAAACCAGCTTGGGCTCCCAGCCCTTTCTTCCTTTACATCCCCAGCTTTAATAAACATCCTCTAAACTTAAAAAAATAAAAATAAATAAAAGACAGGCTGGAAAGATGGGTGACCAGTGTGATTCCAGTACTGTTTATTATACTGTTTATGCTGCTGAACTGGTCAGTCAGCACGTGGCAGATAAACAGAGGCTGAAAGAGATGTGACAGGACAGATTACTCTGCTAAACTCTGCTGATATAAGTCCATTCACACCCTACTTAGAAGACATACATGTAATAAACATGAATTTATTATTTACATTATAAAATACACTAAAGTAAATAAAAGGATGAGAATTATGAGTGCACATAAGTAGATTTTCTTCCTACAACTTAAGAGTGTTTTGCATATACTGCTTTAGGTGTGAGACATGCTTTAAGGCCCTATTTCTTGGAGGGTCAATAATAACAACAAAAAGGGGGGAGGGATTTCTTTTTTTTGGAAGAGTTATTTTTAATTACATTTTTGGGGGTGACATTGGTTAATAAGATGGGTTTCAAGTGTACACTTCTATGATACATCATTCTGTATATTTCATTGTGTGCCCACCACTCAAAGTCAGATCTTCTTTCATCACCATACACTGATCCCCTTTATTCTTTACCATCCCCTTCCCTCTTCTCTCTGGTAAATGCCATACTGTTGTCTGTGTCTATGAAAATTTGTCATAAAGGGACTATTGAGAGTGGAAAAATGCCTAAACAGAGAGAGGACCAAGAGTAACCAAATACAGATAAGCATAGTAAAACCAATAGATGCGTGAACACCAAAGCAGCATGATGGCTACAGCAGTAGTAGCAGATTTTCCTGGTAAACCCTGTACTAAAATACATTGAGCCTTTGCAAAGGGACCTTAAGAACTGGTAATTACATGAAAACTAAGAAATGTGCACTGTGGACTAAATATAGAAAAAACTTCACAAAAATAGGATCTAGCTGAGGAGTAGGCCTTGCTTTTACATGCCAATTCTACAAAAGCATACCAGTCACTTAGCGAGGGGAAATTAGTGAATGATTGTGAACCACAGCCAATGATACATATACAATAAGCAATACATGGCTAATTTAATCTGCATGAAATTTGCTGAGTTTGGATTGTTCTCCTCTGATTATATGGTTTCCTATCTGGTTATAATTTCAATGCTAAGAAATCTCTTCCTTTTCTGAATTTGTCACACTTTTCCATGGGCAGCTGCTTTCTATCCTGTTGCAGAGCAGGGACCCTCTCATTGGAATGCCACTAAGTAACCAGACTTAAACATAGTTTGAAATGCAAAGCTTCTTAGCTCACAAGTAGGAAAATGAGGTCTTTACTTACCTAAAATATACATTG